GACACCGGTACCCATTCCTAAGTTTATTACACCAATCAAGAGACTGGCTGGCAACCCTTTGGCAACCTCCGGTCATTAGGGAAAAATGTGTAGTGGTTGCTGGAGCTTGCTGGGTGAAATTGGCTGCAAAGAGGGTGCTGCCTCTGGTTATTGCTTTGGTTGCTCGCACATTGCTGTGGTCACCTGCAGTTTGCATGAAAGATGTCAACTTATCTGCAGACACCCACAAGCTAAACAAGGTGTGGTAGCGCGACAAAACGTTTACTTTCAAAGTAAAAGTTGTGCCCTCCCACTGAAACCAACATGTATCAAAAACAGTGCAACTTTTACTTTAAGTTTAACTGTAGCCTTTACTGGTTTGCAATGCACTCTTCAGAGTTTCACTATTGCTTGGTGAATATTTCCCAGCTGGGACTGCTCTCCAAGGCCTACATAAATGGGGCTTTACTAACTTAGTATTTACTTACTAATAATTACTAACTTTTGACTCATGACTGGTGGTTGCCAACTGGTCTCTAGACCTATGTGACTGGAGCCTTCAGTTTACGTGCACATCAGCTGTACTGATGTGTGAAATCCCCCACAAACGATAGTTTTCTCAGCACTAAAGTCCACACAACAATATTTGTGTAATGGTGGGCTCAATCTTTTCACTGAAATCCATGTGGAATCATCAAGATTTGGTATAAAATAACCGGTCTCAACAAATTCATCACTGGAGCCTTTAGAAATAGAAATGTTGAATTGGTCCAGCCTTAAATGTTAACAACTGTTGTCATCATATGACACAAAATATAGAAGTATTTCTTTCTGTTTTAACCACTTGGTTGAGGTCAATAATTAAACTTTATATTTGTTAAGTACAGCACTTCAGGTTGCTAGGAAAAAATTACAACAAACAGACAGTGTGCAGAAGACTAGACGTTTCCAGCCGACATTTTTTCTTGACTTTACCTCATAAGTATTTTTAATGTTACGTTAAGCTGTGCATTTAACTGTCACATAAAGATAAAGGAGAAAAAGCGTGCCGACCATAATTGCATCTCATTAGGCTGTAGCATTGCAGCCAAAGAATGAAAGTTGTAAAGAAGAATACACCTTAACTGGTGACTCCATTTTTTTTTAACTTTCTTTAAATAAGAGATTCTGTATTTGAAATTTAAACTATGAAAAGCTGCTGTGTGCAAGGTGACACATGCACAGTGTGTCACTGACTAACAAAAGCAGTAAATCTTCCATATATTA